AGATAATGCTTAGGAACAGATATTATGTTATCTGTATGTATTCACTGCTTGGGAAAAATCGAGGAGCCAGATTATGATCTAAAATACGCAAATTACATCCATTCTTTTAGTGTTCAGCAAGCTGATGGTTCAGGGCGTTTTGTCTATTGCAAATTGTGTAATAAATACCCCGAAATTTCCCGTAAATTTCAAGTTTTTTTTTTCAATGGGCTGCTCTTAATTATTCTTAAATTAATCCATGTCTCATACAATATTTTTCACGATTTGAAGAAAAAAAATTATCCAATTGAATGGTTTTCAAATAAGAACAAATTGAAATTTACACGAATTTCATAAAGAAATCGAACAATAAGATACATAAGAAAAATACCATCGGTATCAGCAGTTGGTTTTTAAATTTCAAACATGGGAGAAAATCGAACGATTCGAACGAAAATATCGAATATAGTTCAAATTTTGATATATCAAAACGTACATATGTTTGTGTGTTGAACAACGTTTACCATTCTCCAAACGATAAACATTTACCATTTCTCATCATATTTTATTTTTATTTATTCACAGCAGGTCCCATTTTACAAAATTAGAAGATTATCTACTACAAAAAGCAAAAATTTATTGCTATTGAATACTTGGAAAACAATTTTTTTACTGAAATTTTCACTCACATCAATGACCGAAAATACATTACGTATTGCCAGATAGTGTTGGCCGTCGAACACTTTCGAACGCTTGTTCGTTCGTTCGACAATTTGAAAAAATATTTTTTTGTTCGTTCGTTCGTTCGACATTCATTTTGTTCGATGTTCGGTCCAAACAAAATTTTTTTACATTAGAAAATTCGATGTATTGATCAAATTTATAATGTAATCGTTACAGCTCATGCTTTTATAAGCTCTTATTATATTTTTTCATAGTAATACCAAGTTTATTTGGGAGATTTCGAAATAAAAAAAACTTTGTTCGGACCGAACATCGAACAAAATGAATGTCGAACGAACAAAAAAATATTTTTTCAAATTGTCGAACGAACGAACGAACACAAAATATTTTTTTTTAATTGTCGAACGAACGAACGAACGTTCGAAGCCATCACTATTGCCAGATAAGACGTTAACCCTCTGATCGTTTGTTGCGTTTACACCTTAACTTCGTTTCATGGGGCGTACAGCGCCCCAAGTGCATTTTGTATGAAAACTTGATTGTAATATGAGATAGCGACTTAGTGTTTTTGACAAAGTTGTAGTACTTAGCCCGCTCTACAACATTGCTGAAGACACATATTGCTTATCTCTTATCAGTTCCGCGAAATACGCGAAAAACCGCGAAAACGTGAATTTTCGGCTCCTCATTTTTCACGGAATTGACAAGATATAAATGATGAGTGCTTTCGGCAAAGTTGTAAAGCAAGTCAAGTACTACAATTTTTTGAAGACACCATCTCCTTATCTCTTATCAGTTCCGCGGAAAATGATAAGAGAAAATTCGCGTTTTTCGCGATTTTTCGCGTAAATGATAAGAGATAACGAATTGGTGTCTTCGGCAAAGTTGTAGTATTCAGACGGCACTATAAATTTGCCGAAAACAGATATCGCTTATCTCTTATCAGTTACGCAATATACGCGAAAAACCGCGAAAGATCTCCCACCATATGGGTTTTTTGATAATTTTTTTTTGCTTGACTGATAAGAGATAAGTGACATCTGTTTTTAGCAAAGTTGTACAGGACCACAAGTACTACAATTTTCCACATGCTTTATTTCGTTATCTCTTATCAGTTAAGCGAAAAACGCGAGATTTCTCTTATCATTTTTCGCGTTACTGATAAGAGATAATGACTTGGTTTCTTGAGCAAAGTTGTAGAACCCAATCTGCTCTACAGCTTTGCTGAAGACAGATATCTATTATCTCTTATCAGTTCCGTGATAAATGGAAAACCGAATATTTGCGTTTTCGCGGTTTTTCGCGTATTTTGCGGAACTGATAAGAGATAAGCGATATCTGTCTTTAGTAAAGATGTAGAGGACCTCTAGTACTACATATTTGTCGATGACATTAAATCGTTATCTCTTATCACAGTCAACAAGAAACGAACGCGCGCACATGTGTTGTGGGAGGCAATATCTCACACATTCTTACACATATGCACATGAAATTTCACTGACGTATAGCTAAAGGTTCAAGCTATCGAACGGTACCTATTTCAATGTGATTTTTTCGTTTTTTGGTACTTTTATTCGAGGTTCAAAGTCGCCTCGGGCGTTGTACACCCGACAAACGATCAGAGGGTTAATGGCAAGATTTTTTTTTCTCCAAATCGTGAAAAATATTGTATGAGAATTTTGCATGTCCGTCCGTCCGTCCATTTTTGCCCGTCCGTTCGTCCGTTCAGAGCCTTCTGAATTTAGTTTTCCGCCCCTCCGTTCAGGACCCTCAGAAATTTTCTTGTCCGTCCGTCCGTCCGACCGGAGCTAAAATTTTTAGCGGCTCTGAACGGACAGACGGACGGACCAAAAAAATTCAAGAGCCCTGAACGGACGGACAAGGTGCTTGTCCGTTGACACCTTTAAAACTTGTTATAAAAATCATTGTATGTAGACAGCATATGATTGACTGGTTCAAATCTGGAGTAATCACGGTGTCGTAGTGGTAGAGATAGGAATGCTGTGTCTCTCGTCCAATGCCGTGGAGTTCTAATATTGATTTTGATCATAATGTGTCTCGATGATGTATGCCCGCATATCACATTATGTAGGGGAATGTAACCGGTTGTGGGACAGCTCCGGTTGTGGGACAGTCGATTATTTTGACACTTATGTAGTATTAACACCAAATGATGTATTGTAATGTTGTTTTATATCCGTAATCGAACTTTTGGTACGACTCTGAGCTGAATATATGCATTCGTTATATTATTTCCAGACGATGTGTTGAAAAATTTAAAAAAAAGTTTCATAGAATTTTTATGAGAAGTAATGTTTTCTCAATTTTTGATGAAAAAATGATCAGTAAAATATTGATATACATAGTTTAAGGACTAAATTTCATCATGAGTAAGTTGTTTTTATCAGTATATGAGCATTGAAATTTTTTTTGCATCACAAACAAAATGGTGTGCGATTCCAGTTGTGGGACAGTCATGTACCCAGTTGTGGGACACCCATTTTTTTGCATTGAAAGCATGAATACGACGTTTCAGTGATGGAATATGGTCATTTGTGTTAAAATAAATATGTGTGGTCGGAATTATTGGTGTTTTTGTGACTGTCAAATCAACATTTGCATTTCCCATCATGTTAAAGGGACAAAAGACAGCTTTTCAAGTACAGGGTTATGATACTATTTCTAATGATTTCTAATGATTTTACTCCGATTTTTGACATTTGAACCAGAAAAAATGGGGTGTCCCACAACCGGGTACAATTTTTTTTCTCGCAATTTTCAAGACTGTCGGGAAAATGACCATAAAATTTTTGTTGTCGATATAAATGACCAACTTTGTTTAGAGAAAAGTTAGCTATGATGATAAACTTTCGAACGATATATAGGGTTCGAAAAAATATATGACAGACATTTTTTTCTGGCAAAGTTACAAAACCCGTCCCACAACCGGTTACATTCCCCTACCATTGCGATTTGATCTATTTTTCTGCGTTCCGCAAGCGTAATCATTTGCAATTCCAGCAATCGACATTCGTGTGGTGGCAACTTAATTTCATGCGACCATTTCATTTTAAGCAGTGCAAATAGTAAAAATTGCTTTTGAACGGACTCAACTCGAGCAAGCTTTTCAGCAGTGTATGGGCTCCAAATCTGTGAACCATATTCGATAATCGGTAGTACAAATGTGAAAAATAATTTCTTAACTGTCCACGGGTCCTCGAACTCCCTTCCAAAATGTTTGATCCATACTAATCTTGACTTTGCTTTGGCGGTAATGAATTCAATGTGTGCGTTGAAATTCATGTTCACATCCAAAATGACCCCCAGATCCTTCATCACTTCGACACGGTCAATTTTTTCGTTGTCAATCGTGTATTCAAAGGCTCTCGGAAATTTGTGCCTAAAACGTCGAAGCAATTGACATTTCAATGCTTTTAAGTCAGTAGAACGTCAATGCTGCTAATGACATTGACGTTTTAGACAAAAGCAACATAGGCGATTTCCGAGAGCCTTTATATTTCAGCTGTCCTCGGTGGTATGAAATGAATTTAACAAATCCATGCTGACTTTCATCGATGATATTCTTTATGTGGAAGTTCAGGAGATTAGCAACAATGGCATCTAGCAATTCTGAAATTACACATTGTAGGGAAACATCACGGTAGTTATTTTTCCTGAAGATATGAAATTGATTCCTCCCAAAAAGTTCGAGTCTTTGAAGACACGCCAACGACACAAGTGCAAGTTTTTCTAACAACATTCTAGTGTTAACAAAACTTTTGAGCATTGAATTTTAGAAAGAAAACGCAGAGCTGGCATCTTTCTTTTATGCAACACAACAGAACACCACACAACGGACTCATATTATTTCTCTCTGAAGGCACCGAAGCCAATTGTGATGATCCAGACAAGATTGAGGACGACAAACCTTCGGGAATAAGAACAGTCAAAACCCGCGTTCAAAGATTCAGGACGACAAAAACCGTTGTGAGCGCGCATTCGGCGAGAAGAACTACGAGTTTTTTTTATCAGGATGGCGAACAGGTGATTCGGTCTTGTTTTTTTGGTGTCCTGAAGAAAAATATTTACAGGAAGAAAATGTCGCCAGGATTTCGTGAAATTGTGCGTCAGCAGGACGGTAGCCATCGAATGGCTTGGCCCAACGCAGATCATTTTGGCAACGTTATGAATGACTTGATTAGCACATATGTAACGAACACGAAGAACCATTTGAATACACATGGTAGGAAACGTCTCCGTGAATTTTTACGCAAAAAAATGTTCGAGATCATCAAAAGCGATCCGATCGTGCGGTACGAAGAGAAGGACATATAGAAGTAATGTAATAGGTAATGTCGCTGAGAATAAAAATGGCAATACAGAAGTGTTGAACTGAAGCGCAACATGAAATATGTATGTAAATTTTAGTTTAAATGTGGTTTCCTGTATATTCGTTACATCGCAACGCCGCGCCATTCACAACGTACAAATCTTACGAAGATTTAGATGGCACTGTTGACGTTTTAAAGAAAAATTGCAAAACGACAAATACAATATAAAACTTGTCAATCATATTTATTTCTTAAAAACGCAAAGTGAATCGTCGCTTTAATAAAAAAAAACGTACTATACAAAATATAAATTTTGATTGTGTTTTTTTATGTTTTTTTTTCGGGAAAATGTTAAGAGGTAGCGAAATGTTATCTTCAATAAAGTTATAGAGTGTGTCAAGTTCCAAAACTTTGCTGAATTCACTAACACTTATCATTTTCGCGAAAAACATAAAAAACCATATTCCAAAATACGATTCTACTGGAGCGTCGATTCATGTGACGTTTTTAAGAAACAAATTTCAAGTTGCGCTTTAGTTCAAACACTTCTGTATTTCCATTTTTATTATCAACAACACAACAGTCCTGCGATTTGTTCCTCATGAGAATCAGTGGTGAATTATGTAAATATAGCCATCAAAATTGTGCAGATTTTCAAAAAGTGGTATTAAAACGAATGTAAAATAAGAAAATATGATTTTATAAATGTATTTGTTAAATGAAAGCAATGCTTTCTAACACAATTATTACAATTATATACATATTTCAAAGCTTCAAATATTACATATGTTCGTGATATTTGGGAAAAATCACGCATTTTCTCCGTCTTTCTTTTACTTGTATATAACAGATCCGAGGTTGCATTCACTGTTGTCGTCCTTGTCATCCTTTCAAATAGGCTGGAACGTTTTGTATGTATAGATGCGCTCAACTTTTATGCGCACTTCGATATAATCAATTTTCATGCTTTTCACCACTACAAGTAAACATCAATACTACTACTAAAATTTTCAGCACAGCTTAGTGCGTCAAACTTTCTGCTATCACCAAACGTGAAAAAAATTGAAATAAGACAGAACATCACATCATTTAGACAAATTATTGGTTTTGAGGCCATTTCCATTTCAACCCTCGTTATTAGAGAAAAAAGTTGAATGTTCAGTTTTTTGAAATTTTATTCTGTTATAAAAAACTAGACGAACAATTGAAGAAACAATGAAAACTAGAAACGGTCCAAAGTTATAAACACTAATATTGAAATTAAATTGATTTATGTGTGGTGCAAAATTTGAAGAAACGTATAATAAAGTGCAAAGAAGATATTATCAGAACAATTGTTTGCTTCAAAAACCTCATCCGCTTCATTGTAGATTAATACAATTTCTAGAATTTGATTATTCCTATTCAAAAACCATTTCAAAAGACATTTAACGTAAAAAAATGCAACCTCCACCACGAAAAGTAAGTTGAACCAATATAATAATCAATCCAGCCTAAAGACTATGTTGTCAAATCCATGTTAACCAGCGCAAGTTTGAAAATATTTCAGACACTTACATGGCGACCGAATGTGTTTCATGTTATTTTTAAATTATTCCAATTTCCAAAATGTCCAAGTGGTTGAAATCATAATCGATTTTCTATTCAAATTCACATAAAGAATGAAGTCAACATTGTAACATAAAAATAGACTCGATATTTTGTTTCTAAATGAAAAATATTTCTAGAGACATTTATGGAGAATTGTTTCTTCTTTTACTCAAAAATCAAATTGAAATTTACATTTACTATGTTTGACTTACTGTTTACTCTTCTTTGACTTATAATAGGGAAATTATGGTAAATATTTGAAGGGCTTGCACTCCGAACAGCTTGCCAAACTTCAATTGAAAAATCAACATGAATGTGAATTGCTTGAAGACATTCGGCAGTTCACAATCAAGAGGTCTGCTATTGAGAAATCTTATAGCGAATCATTACTTAAAATATCATCGCTGTACTTGAATAAAAAGATGGTTTGCATTCCGGAAATCAAATTAGATGGTTCTGAAAAATGGTAAGTTGAAAATTAAACAAGTAACAGCCGGTAATCTCCTCTATAACGGATCAATAGTGTCATCCAGAATCGTTCACAGAACGATGTCGAAAATTTGAATAAATTATGGACAACTCGTTTTATATTATGCTGAACTTCAAACTGTATTGCATCAATTAATCAAAATTATGTATATTACTTATTCACACTGTAGGAATATGTGGAGTGTTTGGCAAACTGTTCTGGAAGAAAATGAAAAATTGGCTAAAGCTCGTTTAGCTGCCATTGAGGTTTTTCAACAGCAAATCGCCGATGAAGCAAAAAGCTTACGAGACTATAAAATTCAAATTAGTAAAAAATGCTTAAATCAACTAGGTAATATCCAAAAAGAATTGCAGACCACCGTGCAGAAAATAGACATAACAAAAAAGTCTTATTTCGATGAGGAGCACAGTGCACATGGTGTTCGCGACAAAGCACGAGATATAGAAGAAAAACTCAAGAAGAAAAAAGGCTCATTTTTTCAATCAATCACATCATTACAAAAAAACAGTGCTAGGGTTACATCACGCAAAGAAGAACTGGAAGAGAAATCAACAGGAGCACGGAACGATTATATTTTGAGTTTGGCACATGCAAATGCTCATCAAAATCGTTATTTTACAGTTGATTTGCAAACTACAATGACAACTATGGAAAATTATGTGTTCGAGCGCATCGCTGACTATTTAACATTGATGGGTAGAACTGAACTACTTACTTGCTCTGCAACACAACATTCGTTCACAAAAATTCGTGATCAAGCACATCAACTAACACGGGAGTACAATGTACAGTGCTTGTATTTGCTGTATCCTGTACTTAAGCAACACATCCAATATGATTACGAGCCTTGCGATAATGATCCAGTCACTAAAATAACTGCTGAGCATGACTCAGCCGCAGCAACATTGAGCCGAGAAGCAAAACTATTTGCTTCCAAAATTGTTCGTGAGAATAATTCAATAAGAGAAAATGCCCGAAAACTAGCAGTTTGTCAACAGTTGCGTGATTCAGGTCAGCGATCCGATCCAAACGACCCGAATGGACCCGACCTAGAAACGAAAATTGAGGAATTTCGCGAGAAAATTCGCAAGTCAGAAACTGAAAAAGTCAAATCAGAAGCATGTCTGGAGTGTCTACGAGCTGGTGGTGTTAATGTTGATGAGTGGATAGGTTAGTATTAAATTTGATGAGCCCGAAAGACAAAATGATATTTTATTACGAAATTCATGTTTGCAAAATTTGAAAAAGCAACACATTCCAAAAACTAGGATTTGGTGAAAAGTTCACACAATTTTATAGAAGGCATATATTTTGTTATGAAAGAGCAAAGAGGAGATTTGAGGAGTTTGCATTATAAATGTATTATAAATAGAGGAGGTTTGTCTTTCGCGATTTGCGCGCATCAGATCAGAGATGCGAGAATGGCGAAAATGAAAAAAATCGCGGAAATCTGTGGCACGTAAACATACTTCCTTTTATAAACAATATGTATATAAAAAAAACATACTCTCCTCTTTATCTTATCAATGGAAAAGCGTCGCAAAAATACTTATTTTTGTATTTATAGAAGAAGCCGAAACGTTGGGCGTACAAGAATTACCTCGTTCATCGAGTTCATTATCAATGCGAACAGACGCATCAGGACATGGTGAGCATGCAAGTTTAGACTCTTTCTATGATAGCGATAATACCGAAGCTGAAGCAGCACCCGCTTCTCAAACTGCAACGAAGACAGGTCAAGCTCAAGCTCCAGCCCAAGTCCAAGGAGGTATCCCTTGTTGACAAATGCATACAATTTTGTACATATATAATAATTTGTTTAATATATTTATAGATGATGACGACGATGATAGTTCTATAGCGGAATCAGAGGAAAATTATGGTGTAACAGAACACCAACAAGAAAAACAGCCACATATGGAAGAATTTGCAAATTGGGATGATCCGACTACAGTTGATTGGGGTGCTTCGAATGCTGCTGCATCTGAAGATTCTCCTCAACAAGTTTCAAATGTAAATGCGTCCGTTACGTCAGCTTCAGATCCTCATACTGCGAATGAACAAATATTCAAATGTATAGCTCTTTATTCATACAATGCTCAAAACCCCGATGAATTGACAATAGTCGAAAATGAGCAACTTGAAGTGATTGGAGATGGTGACGGCGATGGCTGGCTACGAGCTAGAAATTATCGTGGAGAAGAGGGTTATGTTCCACATAATTATTTGGATGTTGAACGTGATTTGTCCACAGATACAAATGCAAATCAGGCACTAACTACACAAATTTCCTTCTCATCAGTCGACTATACTATCGAGAGTGAAGAGCCTGATGTACAATCGCCCGATCAGGTTAGCGTTATAGCCGTACCCATGAAATTGGAAAAATCGGACAAAGAATATTGCATCGCTTTATATGATTATGATGCCTCTGCTGAAGATGAATTGACATTTGAAGAAAACCAAATAATAACTATCGTAAATAAATCACCGCACGGTGTCGATGATGGTTGGTGGGAAGGAGAACTTAACGGAAAGTTTGGTAACTTTCCATCTCTAGTTGTTGAAGAATGCGATGAAAATGGAGAACCATTAACTGAGCCTGATATGGAATCACCAGAAGCTGTAACACCACCCGCATTCGACGCACCACCACCTCCACCTCCAGAGTATTACAAGGATCTAGAAGACGCTGTTAATGAGGCTAATTTATTGAATGGTATGATATAACGACTGAAGAAAATGTTTAAATTCTTATAATTGTTCAAATGGCCAATCGAAAACATTTCATCACTGTTCACATTCTCATTTGCTTCTTTGATATATATGAGAATAATACTTTAATCAGGTTCCCTTATTATTTCGTTTTTTATTATTTGTACACCTATATAGAGGAAACGGGGGTCGGAGAGCAATGTGGGTAGTCTCAATCGATATAGCACGTCAAAAACCCTAAGAAACTCCCGCCTTTATGGGGGGGTAAAGCCACTCCTTAGCTGTCAAATTCATGATAAAATTTATGACGCTCAAATCGGCTTTTCAAGTTTTCCCAGTACTTTTCATACAAACACGAATTCGGCCATCAGAGAACAACGGGATAGGTCTCAATCGATAGGTCTCGCCAAAACACATAAGGAAACACTTATTTTAGGTTGAAAAAAGCACTACTAAGTACTTGAAACCGGTTATATAAAATACCACCCCCCTCGCGCATGTATGATTTCGACGTAAAATAATCTATATCTAGGCTTGGTTGTAAAATTGATTCGAAAAATGGATTTATTGAAGAATAAACGTATATGTATATATATTGGGCATACTCTTTATTTGGGACGAAATATACGAGAAAATATGGGAATTTTTTTAAACCATTTCACTATTAAATCCCATTAAAATGATGAAAATCGCTTTTTCACGATGTCCAACGACCATATTGCCAAAAAACATTATTTTTTATATTTTCGAATGAAAATTAAATAATATTTTTATTATTTTATAATTTTTTTTTATTCTTCGTAAATTTCCGAATTTTACTGATTTTTTTCGATGATTTCTCGATTTCCCATAAACTTGGTGCGAGGTCTAGTTATGTTTCGCGTAAAAAGTTTCAAGATTGAATATTTGAACACCACAACTTCAAGATTTATTTTTAATCATGTCCATACATGCATCTTCAAGAAACTATACAAACTATTGACCAAAAATTTATACTCAGGTACAGACTCATATACACCATCAAAACCAGTAGTTAAATTCGAAATGGAACTATCAGAGTCAATGCAAACACAATATGGAAAGCAATTCAAGGACACACCAACACCGGGTAAATAATATTCATTTTTGTTACATATTCATTCATATTTATTTGTTTTATCTTTTGAATCAATAACGTGAAATAAAACGAGACTGCTGTAATGATCTCTCTTCTTCTTTCTAAAGTTATGGTGCTAGAACCAGATTCAGTAAGTTCATTAGACATTTATATTCAAATGCAAAAACGAGTTCGGATCCAAAGCACTACTTTTTCAATTTTTTGTTTATGAAGGACTCAGATCAAGAGGAAAATACGTTTCACTCGAAGAAAGAAGTACAAGTGGATGAACATGATTTGGGGCTAGGATGCGTCCAGATATCAGTAACGGCTGCCACACCGATGGTAAATGAAAGAAATTGGATACCTATGTATTTAGATTATTTCATATTTTCAAATTCAACAGGTCGAAGATGCAGAAAAAAAGTTTCTAGACGAAATTATTAAAGAAGAAGATGAACAGGAGGACATAGATGATGACATTGAACAATTGAAGCGAGATGAATTAGAAAAAGAGGTGGCCGTAGAGATTGGTTTAATATTTATTACTATAACATCCCAAGTGACGTTCAGTACATGCAGCAATGCAAAACGCCCATTTGTCCCATATCTGTTATGTTTCGTTAAACGGTCTTGGTCAATATAGTAGAAAATGCCATATAGTCACGGCCAAAGACAGTAACGTAAATTCAAATGCGTATTTTGACTCATTTTTATGAAAATTATAATAAGATAATTCATTTATATATTTACTAATTCAACACTACACACTACATACTGTATTTGGCTGAATTTATAGTTACAAAAAAAGTACGAGAATTAATTCCGAAAAAATCTGATTTTTCCGTATAATAGATACATAGAGATTTTGGTTCTCGAATACTGAGTAAAAAACATAACCAAACATGGAAATGCTTGTAAAAAGCTATCAGACTTCAAACGGTCCTAGTAGCCCCTTGTAAGGCAAAACAAAAAAGCTAAGCGTTGCAATTCCGATTTCAATGACTGAAAAGTTCATCGTCCAATCCTGTTTCTAGTGTTGCTCTGTGTAATCATCGGTAAATAGGGAAATGAACACCCCATCCATTTCATATTTAATATCACTTATGAATAACAAAGTAGTGAGGGTCCGACGTAACTTCCCTGTGGTACGCCTGATTATGAATTGAAGTAGCTCGATTTCCCATTTACAATGGCGTACCTATATTTGGGGTTCAAAACCCTTTCAAAAATGTAATCGTCATAAAGAAATTTTTTACAATAAACCAAGAAAAACTTTAATTTCAGGATACTTAATATCAAAAGTTCGGCCCGCTTTGCTCGCCACACAAATTCTTTGATTGGGATATGAGCACCATTGTGTGAAATGGTATCAACTGACTAGCTATTGACTGACTAAAAACGATTAAACCGAACGAAATAGGCAGAGCGTTAGTGCTGCTGACGTCAGCTCATAAAACGCTCTGGAAATAGGCGACTGTACTCACTGAGAAATGCTATAGTGAATTGTAGAAGAATTATTGTTAATTTGATAAATGGCCACCATTACATTGACAGGCATAGTATGTATTTACTTTGCTGTGCCATACTACTATGTCACAAAGTAGTATGGGTGGTAATTTCGCGCGGCAAAGTAAATACGATACAAACACATACTATGCTAGTATGTTCGACTTCCATCCATTCATTCGACTTTCTACTCATTTCTTTTCAACAAAATCTGTGATTCCTCTCATCTTTCCACGTTTAACATGAGCATTAATATTAAAACGGTTATGAATTGCATTTTTGTGTGAATAATACGTTAATATTTGCCCAAATTTTCGCCCTCCATTGTTTTACTTGCTGCCCTCTAAGTTAAATATTTGATTTATAACGGAAAATTTTGTATGGAAATTGTCATAATATAATTGTCATAACGGATGTATCGCCGCGAAAAGTAAATTTGGCAAAATATTGCTATACATCTGATCCAACAAATTAACGGTGTATTACATTAACTCGAATCTACCCCGTGTTACATATCGGCCATTCCACACGAAATCAGGGAAGAGTTGTAATGTGAGGTCGCCGAATTGGCTGAAAATTGGCTTGGAGTCTTGTTTTCGATAGAAAAAGAGAAAACCAAAATCTCAGGCCTGTAAGTGGCCCACATTTCTGAGTTCACCCAGTGTAAATTTGGCAAAAAATTGAAAAAATCGAAAAAACGGTTTACGCGAACTGAAAACTAACTAAGAAGTAGTTGACACATTACCAAACCATTGGTACCGTTGGAAAGGGAATTGATGGGGCTACAAAAGCCGCCTAGTAACCTATCCTCTATGGCCCCATTGGAACCTCCAAAAATGGGTTCAAAGTATAAAATGTTAAAAATATCAAAATAGTGGGGTTTTTTTGACATGTTTTTTTGCGTTTTTTTTTGCGCTTATGTCGCGTCGCTTCAGATGGAAAAATAAAATTTCGTGTATACCCCCGCTGAAACGCTGAATTGAGCCAAAAATGGTAAGCAAATTGGCATATTTTCATTTGCTTCGCTGGAAAATAAAAGCCATTCACGATTAAATACAGAATAGGGAATTTTTGAAGCAAAAAAAGTGTTTTTATTGCGAGTTGAAAACATTCTCTGAAGCAGGGTCATTTTTCGACCTTTTAGACCTATCAGACAGGATTGAGATAAGTCTCAATCGACTTTCCGTCAAAAATTACGTGGAAATAGAATCATGACAGCCCATTATAGGTGGGTTTTCTATGCCACAAATGTGATTTTGTAAGCAGATTTAGACCATTCGTTTGTTCATGAAGAAAAGTCAGTTTCGGACAAAATTTATAGGTAAACCGATGTAGAAAAGGTCATTTTTTCATGTATTTTGACGAAAATATAGCAGTTTTTCCATATCAAAATGTCGTAAGAGGCAATTTTCGACCATTTTCCCCACTAAAACGCTGCAAAATGACATATGATTCACCTGCCGAGGCCAGATACACGAACTGAATGTGGGGTATACACGAAATTTTATTTTTCCATCTGAAGCGGCGCGACATAAGCGCAAAAAAACGCAAAAAAACATGTCAAAAAAACCCCACTATTTTGAGATATTTAACATTTTATACTTTGAACCTATTTTTGGAGGTTCCAATGGGGCCATAGAGGATAGGTTACTAGGCGGCTTTTGTAGCCCCATCAATTCCCTTTCCAACGGTACCATAGATTTGGCAATGTGTCAACTACTTCACAGTTAGATTTTAGTTACCGCAAACCCTTTTTTTCGATTTTTTCAATTTTTTGCAAAATTCACGCTGGGTTAACTCAGAAAGGCGGGCCACTTTTAGGCCTGAGATTTTGGTTTTTCTCTTTTTCTATCGGAAACAAGACTCCAAGCCAATTTTCAGCCAATTCGGCGACCTCACATTACAACTCTTCCCTGATTTCGTGTGGAATGGCCGATATATGTAACGCTTTGTGACAAGTAAAGAACCTTGATACTAAAAATCTAACGAGTGATAATATCATTATGCTAAAGCATGTTTATGATTCCTAAGGATGCTTCTATTCAATGATATTGTTGGATCTAAAGTTGATAGAATTATTTTCAAGTGAGTTTTTTCGACATTTTTTTAAATTTTCAAAGAACATCTAAACTGAGTTTGCTGCGAACAACATCTCTTTTACGCTAACAGCAATTCGTACACGAACGGATTGCCGGACCATTTCCCGAAAATACTTTTTCCCAAAAGATTTTTTTCCCGAAACTGAATCCCGAAAATGCCACTTTTCGGGAAGACAATTTCCCGATAAAAAATCCCGCATACTTTTTTTTCCCGAACATCTGATTTTCCAGAAAATGTTATCCCGAAAATCAAATCTCCGAAAAAAAAAATTCCCGAAAGTCAATTTCCGAAATTGAAAAATTTCGCGCACGCGCTCGTTCGGTCCTGTGAAACTCCCTACCTTTGTTGATCGCACCATTTTTACATTTCAGTATCGTATCTTCATACGAAGCATTTTGTTCAGTTTGGAATAACTTGTACATTGTACAGTCTACAGTATGGTGTACTCGCGCGCTCATTCTTGTGAAACTCCTCACCGTTGTTAACCATACCATTTTTCATTTCAAAATAGATAGAAATGATTCCATAAAGAATTTTCGGGATTTTCGGGAAATCAAATTGTTTGATTCGGGATTTTTGAATTCGGGAAATTTGTAATTCGGGAATAAAAAAATTCTGGATAATTTTTTCATACATAAAGTTCGAAAGCTATCTTTTACATAAAAAAAATTGTGTTGGGGGTCCTGGTAGTGAGATATGGGCCAATGTTTGGACGACCTCATGTGGAGGCTATTCGGATAACCCACATTTTATCACATTTTAAGTATAGGAATACTTTCTGAATCAGTATTTCGAGGAATTAGAGTCTTTTTTTATGGTATTTCAACAGTTTAATTGGAACCTAATCATTAAAAGTTTCAAAATTCAGGAATATTGCTAATGTGTTAACTGGATTGAATAAAATGATAGTAAAATGAATGAAATAACAAAAAATGTAAGAAGAAATGGTGAAATGTTGTTAATGCTCATACGTACAAACCATGATAAAACCAAATAAAACAAAATAAACAGAAAATTCATGAAATATTTGAGAAATAAGCCTCAACAAAATGAACCAATATCACGATTACATGATCAATATTACATTAAAAAAAACTTTAATATAAATCTGTGAATAGTGTAAAAAGTTCTGATTCGAATAGTCCCCACAATTTTGATCCGAATAGCCCTCACGCACCATTTCCAAAATGTTGTCCCAGAAAATATCACGCGCCAAACATTTATCCAAACTATTATTATTCATAGATAGTACTCGATCTTAGCTATCAGAATATAATACCATTCGTTGCTTCACCAAAACAACACACAAATCGAAGTTCTGTGATGACGCGGATAAGCTGGCGGAAGGTCTCAAAACAAACTTTTACCATTTCTACTGTTCACAGATTACATAATCATTTAGTTTGCCAAATATGTGGTAAATAACAACACATTTAATGTTGGTTCCATATGTCATGGTGTTGGTACCGTTTTGGGGATAAGTCGAGTGATCAGGATAGCCACCTGATCCAAATTGATCCACTTCCCCCTATAATATATTTGGGCAATAAAATACATCTTCAATAACATGGTTCTGAAACTAATCGATAAGCATTAAATTGATAATTTCATAAAACATTATATAATGTTTCCAAATTTTATCTCTAGGTGGCAGAAGCAGTTGACGAAATTTTGGAAGAGGCTCGGATTGAAACCAGCAAGAGACCAAACCCGAAATCGTTAGAGAAAACTGACTCTAAAGAAGAAACCAAAAATACAATTGCAAATAAGGAAGCTTCAAATTCACCGGCCAACCGAGAAAAACAACAGGTTCCTCGATTCGGTCCCCCCACTGTTCCACCACCTCCACCACCCGTTTCAACATCTATATCATCTATTGATGATCACAATAAATTCGATGCGAACTTCGAAGCAAACTTTGATAATGCATTTGGTGAACCTGATCAGCCAGATCAGCCTGAATTACCGAAACAATTGGGTGGTAGAGCTAGCATACCTGATGAATTGGCACCACATCAGCTGGAGCGCTTACAAAATCTCAAAGAATCGAATGCATAAGTTGTTCGAACTCCGAATGAATTCATCTAGTATCAATGTACAATTTAGCCCCTTGTAAACTTGAAAACGTTGAGGCCATGCACAAAAAGTATATATGACATTTGTGAATTGCGCGATCGTAACCAATTCAATAGCGTTAAAGTATAGAAATAATAATAGTTGGGACAAAAAAAAGCTAGATGGTCTTAGTGGAATGATTGAACATAATATTTTTGTAAAATGAAGTGCTTCATGAATAATAATAATTCAACAACTGTAACTATTTTGTGAGTTATCGTCACTTAATATTTTTCACGTATTAACGTACGTTTACGTACTAATGGAAATTTGCATTAATTCCAATAATAAAGTGCGAAATGAATTTTGAATTGAACTTGCATTGAACACATTCGAAAAGTTGGACAAAAAAACGTCCCATTTCAAATATTCCTTAATATTCGTTTTAATTCGTTTATTCGTTTATTCAGTCAGAGGCATTCATCTCACGCTAATATTATGTTTCATAATTCTTCTCTGATATTCATATGTATCATTAATCATGTACTAAGCTTAAGTTACATAATTATGTAAAAACAGTCAGTTCAAATATGATATTTTGAGAATCCAAATGACAGCAAGGCAATAGAAATATTTTACAATTAAGGCCATTTCGCACATCGAAATATATTCTCAATTGTGCGACTTGGTAGTCAATCGGTAAGAGTAGGTGTGAACTCATACAAATACAAAATGATGGCGAATAATTTGGTTCTCTGGCTTTGTTGTTATGCATGCCGTTTGAATGGCAGCCTGGAGAAGAACATAGGATATGCAGTTAATTTGTAGAAGTTGGCATAATTGTATCAATTTTCGGTTTCGTTGATTGCAATTGATATCATACGAGCACAAAATATTTGGTATATTCGGCGCGAAATTTACTGTTAGTCGTTTGGGTGGTGTTTTGCTACATGCATCGAACACGAATCAACAATGAACAACACTATGTTGTCAACACATAACTGTATTCGACAAAGCAATGAGAAAAAAGCAGAATCAGCATTCCGCTTGGTGTTTATTTGACAACATCACTTCACTGTTGGCATGGGATCAGTTTAAAAAGGGAAAGAGAGAGATTTTGCATCGGTTCAGTTTGTATCAATTGACAGATCATCAGCATTGATTTGAATATGATCTAACGCATCTTACTTTAAAAGAGGCGAATGCGTATTTACAACAGAGTAACGCGTCAAATCAGCGTCCAACAGGACTGAACAGTTTGGTGTGATACAGTGGCTGCAAAATGCATCTTATGCAAAGGTAATATTTCGATTGGCATGTAAAAATGAAACAAAAAATGTTGTTATTATACATTGTTGTTCGTGATTTCAGATCTTTTTGAGCTGTTCAATGGATACACTCCCGATATTTTTACACTGGATCGTGGGTTCCAAATACACTTCGATGGGTTCAATGCATATGTGGTTGAGATGCAGCAGAACGCAGCAGCATTTTAGTTTTAGTTTTGATTTTTCGTTTTTGATAATAATTTATGTAACGTTAAGTTATTCTGCTGGGAGCTGATTTTGTGCCCCTGTCGAAGTACCTACCGTGTCGGCTAGTGGACTATCAAAAATTTTTGAGAGAAGGTGGCTAGAGCTCTAGCGGAGAATCTTTTTGACAGCAATAAAAATCATAACATAAACACTTTCTTCTCCGGTATGCATGGCCAATAAACTATAATCGCCGGCAGTTTCGGTAAATACATATATGTAAAACAAGCACATTCGTTATTTTCATTTGAATCACCAATTGAAAAATTTTCGAAGACCTAGAAAATATTTTAGTTTCCGCATTTATTATATCTCTTCTATGCAATGTCAATTGTTCATGACAAATCTGAACAGAAGTTAGACGAAATAATCTAATACGATGCATTCATTAATACAAATATGTTTATCAAATTTATCTATTCGGATATCTATTATATATGATATATATACAATACAGTGCCATGCAAAAGTTTGAGTACGACTATAAAATGCATTATTTCCATGTCTTTTTGTCTTATTCAACCTGAATTAGGGTTCTAATCTGGAAGCCTATTGAAATTCTGACCGAATGAAATATTTCAAAGACAATATTTGGCCGGCCTATGGCCATTTTCGGCCATTGAAAAATGAGTTTTTTAACAGGCCGTCGGATTGAAAAGTCATATATATATATCAATAGAAAGGTCTTGAAAAGTGGATGTCATTTCTGGTATAAAACCCAAAAATGACATTCACTTTTCAAGACCTTTCCATTGATAGAGACATTTTTCACACTTTCTATTGATATATACCATATTGGTATGACTTTTCAATCCGACGGCATGTTAAAAAAAAACTCATTTTTGTCCGCCATTTTTCAATGGCGGAAAATGGCCATAGGCCGGCCAAATGAATGGTTTGGAGCGAAAATGTAATACAGAAAAGTTGAGCGGAAAAATGTCGAATGAAAAGGGATAGCTATATAGTTCACTATAGTTTACTATACATTATACTATATAGCTATCCCTTTTCCGCTCATTCATCATTTACATTTTTCCGCTCCACTTTTCTGTATTACATTTTCGCTCCAAACCATTCAAATATTGTCTTTAAAATATTTCATTCGGTCAGAATTTCAATAGGCTTTCAGATTAGAACCCTAATTTGGGTAAAAGACAAAAAGACATAGAAATAATGCATTTCATAGTCGTACTCTAACTTTTGCACGGCACTGCAATATATATATTTTTATTTATTTGTTGAGAGATAACACTTTTCTTGTGCATAGTGTATGTTGTGCATAAACAGAATGCTTATGGATGTATCATTATCGTTGATGCTGCAAGTTATTCAGTACAATATATTAAAGTATATTTGGCATGGAGTATGGAATTAGGATTATGTAAAATGAAATATAATTTTTCGTCTAATGCCTTCATAAAAGAAAGAAGGGCCGAATAAATATTATTCATTACATTCATTTACACTCTTTTTACGAGTGTTTTTAGTTTGATTTAAATATTGAATATAGAAATATTGACATGATATTTATCAAGAATTTTCAATGAACATTCCCAAAACCATACAAACTTTCTTTCCAAAAACAAGCTAAAAATCTTGCGAAGTGACATGTGGACTTCAATAAGGTCGGAGGAGTGCACTGATAGAACTACGACGCTACTAAGCGCCCAGATGACATTTCTATAAAGTATTGGGTGTATAACTTTGCTTCCGCCGTTTTCCAACAGATGGCTCCAGCGGTAAGTGCTGGTGAAAAATATCAGCTCTAAAACGTCATACGGTAAGCTTGGGCATCTGTCAACAATTCTGCATCATCACATTTGTAAATTTTTATCTGCATCATAAATTTTATTGTGCTCAAAAATGTCCGAGTTCGTGCTAAAAAAACAGCATTTGCGGGAGCAGTTTTTTTCATACGGGAAAAATGTGAAAAATAGATTATTCTTTTATCGAGTGGACACTGGTAGTGAAGAATGGACGTTTCTCGATAGACACAAGCATATCAAACCACATTTTGATCGTGGTTACTTGTCATTATAGGTGGCGCCACAATCACTCCCTCGAAAAAGGGTGATTTTCCATAATTGCGGGGGTGAGGCAGATATGGTGCATTGGAATGTGGTAGAAACTTATCACAATGTTAGCTTTTATCGTTCCCAACAGAAACTAATCGGTATATACCAATTTCTGACAGCAAAATCGAAAAATTGACTTATCGCCGCAAAAAAGCGAATTTTTGAGGAAATTGTTTTAATGACTTTTTGGCTATCAAGTCCAAAATTTCTAAGAAGCTATTAATTTTGAAAATCCTTTATGCCCCCGCTTTAATCTCCAGACATTGCGCTTTCTCACTACCACTGGTTTCAGTCAATTCAATATCACCTAAGTAGAGGACGGTTCACTTGTTTTCAAAAAAGTCAAAAATTGGCTTGATTCCTTTTTGGCCGCCAAGCCGACACAGTTTTTTTTGGGACGGAATCCATAAATTGCCTGAATTGTGGGGAAAAGTCATAGCTTTCGATGGACAGTACTTTGAATAAATTATATTGTACAAATTTTTCACAATAAAGCCTCAAAAATTGAAAAAAAAACGGCGGAAGCAAAGTTATACACCCAATACAATAAACGTAGTCGTCTGTGAACGCTGTGTATGCAAATCGTAATATAACTATTGTATTCTTACAAAATGTTAATTTGTGTTTTTTTTTACTAGTGGATTGTAAAATACATTAAAATTTGATATATTACTTTTCCGCAAACTTTGTTTGTTAAGGAAAAGTATTGGTTTTACTAGCCAAAATTTCATGACCACAAAGAGAATATGACATTGATATAACATCTAACTCCAACTAGAACTCTTTCCAGTAGTTGTGTTTTGGTGAGTAATATTACCTAGACTGAATATAGCGGTTTCAACTACTTTCGGGCGAAATTATCTCAAAACTGCAATGAGTTATTTGTTATGCGAACGCTCAAACGGCTATTGTTGATGTACGGACTAATTCAGTAATCCACAGACATGCAATGGCTACTGGATGACAAATCTACAACACACTCGAGTGCGTGTATTTGCGTGCACATTAACAGTAGCCGTTTGAGCGTTCGCATAGCAAATAACTCATTGCAGTTTACTTTTGAGATAATTTCGCCCAAAAGTAGTTGAAACCGCTATATTAAGTCTAGGTAATATTACTCACTAAAACACAACTACTGGAAAGAGTTCTAGATGGAGTTAAATCTTCACACCGGAACAACTAAAGTTGAAGGAATACTCAAGAAATCAATCGGCTGATATGCCATTAAATAGCTTGTGTCGCCACCTTTCCAAAACAGTATAGTATAGGTGTCGCTCCCCCTCGGATCCCCCCTAAATCGGCGTATGTATAGGGAGGATATGAAAATCTCATGTGGCTACCGAAGGTCATTGCTCCGTACCTATAGGTGGTAGGGCATTAGTCACTAGGGCAAAAATATAGTACTCGTGAATACCTTTCTAGCCATGTATATGGTGACCCTCCCGGGTCCCCCCTTCATGAAAATATAGGTATTGCAAAAATTAATGAGAAAATGGAACTTTTCTTTTACTGTGCTTTGAGGAATATGAATATTGTATCGATTTTTTGTATTCTGAGGATAGCTTGGGTTCAGTAAATCAGAGCTTAAAATAAGAGTGAATCAAGTCCAAAATGGTGAACTAAGATTTGAAAATGTGAGTCAAAAAATTCCAAACGGTGAATTAAGAATTCACCAATAAAATATGAACTTAACTCGATTTACCGTCTATTTTTAAAAAATTTCGCGGTAAGCGCGACGTTCAAACGGTGAATTTATTTGATGTGATGAATATTGCGGTTTCAATCGGTTTATTCGAATTTAGCCGCTGTATTGTTTGTATTATACTTATTTCCATTAATATCTGTGATGTCAAACTCATTTGACATATTTTGGGACGCACTCCTGAGAATATAGAGATGGTTTGAATATTGAAAATCACAGATTTTGCCAGGTTAGAAAAAATACTAAGCAATGTTTTTGCTTTCAAAAATCAGTAGTAGGAAAATGGGGATTCTGGGCCAACTCTTGCGTCGACCACATGGTTCTTGCATCATCCATGCGGTAGCAATGCGAACGCGTGCGTCATCCTAAGAGCGAAGCCCATACACTCACATATTCCCTCGTTCGTTTGATTGTATACTACACCTCTCTCTCTCTCTTTCTCTCTCCCACTCACTCATTTGATTACTCGAACATTCATACTTTCACTCACTGGTCATTGGAACGTACGAAAGAAGACAAACGCATTCCTAATTACATTGCATTACACACACATATATATTGGGTCTGGGAATTAGTTTTGTCGATTTTTTTAAATTTTCAAGCATTTATTTGAATACCAAAATGAAATTACATTTCAATCAAAATATTGTCCATCGGAAGCGATGACCTTCTGCCACAATGTGGGCAATTGACGGATGCCTGCCTTAAAAAATTCCTCATCTTTTGAGGCTATAAATGCATCGAGCCAATTTTGGATTTCTTCAACTGAAGAGAACCGCTCTCCGTCCATATGGTTTTGCATCGATCGAAACAAATGGTAGTCGGAAGGAGCCAGGTCTGGGCTATACGGGGCGTGAGCCAAAACTTCCCATCCGCTATTTTCCAAGTAGTTTTTGACCGATTTCTCAATGTGTGGCCGAGCATTGTCATGTAGGAAAATCAATGTCTCTTTTCTGGTCTCCCATTTCGTGCGTTTTTCTTTGATTGCTTGTTTCAAACGTATCAATTGTTGTCGGTAGAAAGGCCCATCGATGGTTTGACCACTTCTCAGCAGCTCATAATACACCACTCCCTCCTCATCCCACCAAATAGACAGCATTACCTTGTCGCCGTGAATTTCTTGTTTTGGCTGTGATGTTGCTGGTTGGCCGGGCTTAACATACGATGCTTTGCGCTTGGGGTTATCGTAATGAATCTATTTTTCGTCACCAGTGACAATTCGATACAGAAAACCTCTTTTTTTGTGCCTTGCGAGCAGCATTTCGCAAGTCACTAAACGCCTTTCAGCTTGCGCTGGCGTCAATTCATGTGGTACCCAATTTGACAACTTGCGAATGAAACCAAGGGCCCTTAAACGATATCCAACAGTGCTTCGGTCAACATTCAATGCTCTGGCAAGCCCATCTTGAGTTTGACTCGAATCTTCATCGAGCAATGCCTCCAATTCCGCATCTTCAAACTTTTTTGGCTGGCCGGGACGTTCCTTGTCTTCCGTGCTAAAATCACCACTTTTGAACCGTGAAAACCACCGTTCACATGTACGTTCCGATGGAGCATGCTCACCATAGGCTTCCACCAACATTCGATGCGCTTCAGCCGCAGTTTTCTTCAAATGAAAGCAAAAAATTAATGCTTGCGGGAAATGTTGCTTTTTCGGTACAAAATTTGACAAAAAAAAATGTTTATCCAAACTTCGATGAAATGATAGATGATGATTTTTGTAGTTTGACACTAGACCACTCATGTGAAAAAGAAAAAAGTATTGCCCGATACAACCATGCAAAGTTACGCCATCTTTTGAGGGGAAGAGTAGAAAAAATTATCATCAGTCAAGCACAATGCAAACTACCCGGCTTAATGCCCCTATCGTTTAGACGAAAGTACAAATCTATTTTGTTACTGAAGAAAATCACGTCTTTACTTGTCGAACGAACGAATATTTCTGATTGAATGAATGAAATGGAATGAGTTTTGATAACAATGGAAACATGGGCACACACACACACTGCTTACTATATTTGTTGGCAGCAACGGAAGCATGTATCAACGAACAAGAGAACTCAACTGAAATGAAAAAAAAATAAAATGAAGCTTTTTCATTTCAAAATGTAAACAATCTGTTTTTAAGTGTGCACCGGTGAATTTTTTTTCCAAATGTACTAAAAAAAAAAAATTGTCTTCCTGTATGAAATGAAATGAAATGATGAAAAGAAAACAACATTTCTCTCACTATCTCTCTATCTCTATGCCTCTTAGGTGAATGATCATGATTTTTTTTTCATTTTTTCTCTTTCCGCGTATTGATAATTTTATTAAATTTACACAACATATAACCAAAACGTTCTGTATGTGTATATCAACGGAATGAAATAGCGTTTCTATGCGTTAGCTTGATGTACTTACGACCAATTTCAAGCAAAACCGATTCACTCGCAACTTAACTGGCAACATTAATAGCGGTAGAAACTGTTTGAATGAATTAATTTTGATTTTAAATTCCTTTGATATTTTTCGTGATTCATTCCATATTTTTGAATTAAACATTTTTTTTCCGTATTTGGCAAATATTTTTAACGTCAACATCTTTTAAATCAACACATGAACTTTTTTTTTTCAATTCAAAATGAATTTATACTTAGTGTATACTTAAAATACTTTCGATGGCAACATCGAACGTACTCTAAAAATGCACAATTTGACAGACTGTCATATTTACATGATTATTGCTTATTCATTGGAACAACAGCTAAACGTTCAACAATAATTTTTGAGCAAGTTGATTTTTTTTCTTTTCCAAATTTGTTTTTGAAAAATGCGAGTCGTTATTCATCTTCAAGATAATGATGGAAAGAAGCACGATAGAACGGCAATTACGCTCAATGACCAGGTTTGTCTCTTTTTAATTTTAATGTATAAATTTATTTCAAAAGTTCCATTTTAGGCGACCATCGAAGCATTGCAAAAAGAATTGGAACGTATCTTTCAGATCGAGCCTAAATTTCAACGCATTTTATTCGGTGAGATGGAAATTCACGAACTTTTTGGACCGTTGTCTCAGATTGGTACTGAGGACGAGTACAAACTCGTACTTGTAAGTGTTTCAATTCCTTTTTGTAACACATTTTCGAAAATTAATATTGTCAAGCATATTTACTAATGAATTTGATTATTTTTTCTAGAAACATTCTCAACTAAAAATGTGGGATGCTTTCAAACTAATGATCAACGATATTGAGGAGAACAAAAGAAAGGAACATAGCGTTAAGAAGAACGTGAAAAGTTGTATTCAATATTTGGAAGCACTCGTAAAAGAAAAATTCTTTCATGCTTACCCGGAATTCGTATCTATAATGATAAAGTTCAACAACAAATACGCTCATTATGTAGACGCGGAACACGAATACATCAAAATGGCCGCAAAATTTTATTTTTCCATTCGTTTCGGAAACAGTTGTGAGAATCCAGACGTGGAAATAGCATTTAAGCCAAAAGAAAAGAGCGGTGCTCAAGTAAGTCCAATTAAATATTAGCAAATAGGTGTATTTTTAGCTCTGATTCTTTATTGATTTTTTTAATAAAACGTTTTTAGGGCGGCCTGATTTGTGAAGTGAGTAAAAGCGGAGCTCAGCCTACAATATATCATATTAAGACACATTTGGGAATTTCAACTCTTACATCTCATCATGTTGGGGTCGATCTTCGAGAATTGTTTGTATACAAGCTTCTAGAACTGATAAAAGTTGCCCAAAAGTGCACTTTCTACGGAACATCCATGTATCTCGATTCGGAATTTACATTGCCACGGAAGATGGTAACTTTTGAAATTGTTGACATTTTTTTTCCTCGATTTTTAATTCTCTGTTAAATAATTAAAATTAAGGGTAATTCACCAAATTCGGTCCCTCAACTATCGTTACACTTAATTTGAACCCAAGTCTTTATTTATTAGTAAAATAAAGTTCATTTTTGCACTTAGTGCAAGTTGTAAATTTACCCTTACTTTACGCAAATAAAAGTCGTCTGTATATTTACATTCTAGTTGCCGGATTTACCCGAAAAAGTGAAGCAAAGATGGTCGACGAACAAAAGTCGCAACTCGATTTACTCCGTCATATTCTTTTCCTAGTGGATCTTCATTCTGCAAATTATGGCATCGATGGTGAAGGAAATCTGTGTATTGTCGACTTTCAGGTATTTTTGAACTCATTTTTACTTACTGTTATTATTTCTAATATAATAAAAGAAAATCTCATCCATTTCTAAAAAAGATTCTCCCTAATAAAAATAGTTCCACTTAAAATCACTAATTTATTAATTTTTTATATAGATTGGCAACCATCGAAGTAGTGCTGACGGGCGAAGTTTTTTGGCACGCCACAAGACTCTTGCAAAGAAGTACATTGAGTCGTGGAATCTAAAAAGTAACTTGGACACCGCTGATCATGCTATTGTTGAACAAAAGAAACTCTTGGAAGCTAAACATATTGATAGAAACTCGAGCAAACATTCTAAAGAATATTTGGATATAATAAAAAAAATTGTGGTTAATGCGGCTCAATGATGATATTAAATCTCAATGTCAATACTTTGCACTTAGATTTTTTTGCTGTTGTCGATGGTGTGTGTTCCACAGTCATTATCAAAATAAGAAAAATATGAGCGACATAAAGAAGAAAGAATGAAATCATTCCATTTATTTTTGAAATTTGTGCTGCATATTGACAATTAAATGTATTGATTTTCTCATTATTCAATTTAAAATATTGAATCAATTTTGAATGAATAAAAAATTATTTGAAGAAAAAAAATACACAAATTTTTAAATTTTAAACATGAGAGAGATAGAGAGAGAGAGAGAGAGAGAGAGTAGATAGAGAGAGAGAGAGGGAGAGAGAGGAGTGGAAGGTGGCAATGACAGGTGATACATGAAAGTAACACTATCTAACCGGTAAAAACTGTACATGTATTTGTGTTTGGGAATGGAATAATCGATTTTTATTTTCAAAACGCTATTTAAACAAATTCATTGAATGATTGAAGCATTGGAAATAAAGTGATGGAAATAACAATTGACTCGTGAAACAATTTGTTTCAACGATTGGCGAAAAGAAATATTTAATGATCATTCAAACTCTAACTATGTCTCTAGACTTTAAAATGAAAAAGCGTTGCGCATAATATATAAGAATGTTTTAAATATTATAATACAAAAACAAACTCACTATTTTTTATTGTTGAAAAAAAAAAACCAAATGATTTCAAATTGTTTAGTAAACAATCAAATAGATTTATACCGAAAAAAAATCAAGCGCCGATAATTGGCAAAAGGTGAAAATTATGGGAATGAAGTAGGTGAAAATTACGGAAAAAAATCTAAAATTTATTCTATAAATTCTATTACAATTATTCTGGTGATAGAAAATGGTAAAAACAATAAAAAATTATGTATCAAATGAAATGAATGAATTTCAAGTGAAAAATTGCTGTTTTGTTACAAAACTTATGCATTTAGACTGCAAAAACGATCATTCCGACAGTTAATGATGTACTCATATTTTGAGGCAATGAAGATTACGTGTGTACAACAAATTATTTGGAGGGAAATTTCATTTTTCTACTTCAATCAAGATAAAAATTCATGAATGAAACCTGGAAAATTTGTGTGAATCGTATTTGACTGTGAATTTGGATTGTTGAAAATGAATAAGTCGGCATAATATTGAAAGAAGCTTTTGAAGAATTATTTTGAGCATTTGGACCACACTAGTTCAATGCATGACATTTGGTGTGAGGTAACTATTTGATGCCCAAATTAATTTCGATATCTTTTATGCATTATTTTTTTCTTGGTATTCTTTTCTTTTCTTGGCATGTGATAAACGTAATTTAAAAATTATTATATTGAAAATTAATTCATTTAAGGTTTCATACCCAAAAATTAGTAGCGTTTGAGAATGAATGTTGTGAAAATGGTCGATTTATATTAAATTTTATATAATTTAAATTTATCCGAATTTTGAGGGCATTAAATGGATTAAATAGTGTTTACCAGAGCTGCAAAACAACAACAACAAGATTACTGCATACTTTTTTTTCATACCGTTCAAAAACTATTAATGACTCGATCAATGTTGCTGAAAATTTGCATATATATGGTAATAAATCTAAATTTTTTGTAAAAGGAGTAATTACAAAAATCCTATAATTTTAAAAGGGGAAAATTTGAAGAAATGTAAAATTTAATGCAAGTAATGATTATAATCATTACTTTTTTCAATTACTTTCGGTATTTTCATTATAAAACCAAAAAAATTAAATATTTTTTTGTAAATATCTAATTTATTGAAACTATAAGTTAAATAGCATATTTTTGTGAAGTTTCAGTAATATTGCGTGAGTTTTAGGTAATTTTTTTGATTTATGAAAAAAAGGAACAATAATGGTCGTTTCAGCTCTGGTGTTTACTTACGACTGGGAAATAGGATCTCATTTACTCTCCAAATAATAAAGATAATTTTTTATGGCATTTGTCAAGGAATCTTTGGCGTATTAAATTATATCATTCGAAGCCGAAATATATCCGTAGGGAGGATTAAGGTTTAAACTTTAAACCAAGGCTTACCGACTAAACTAACTTACTCGAAAGTACTTTCATGATACTATGCATGTACTGAAAGCCACCGAAGTGAATTTGTTATATAAATAAATTACTTCACTGTTTGCTATATGTCAACGCATAACTGTTTGTCGGTTGTTAGATAGATGGATGGACGGACGGAAGAATGAATATAAAAGAAGAGAAAAGAATGTATATGATTTCATGCAAATAGTTCGATTTGAGGTTTAATTTCATGCAAATAGTTCAATTTCATGCAAATAGTTCGATTTTAGGTTCAATTTAATGAAAATAGCTCGATTTTAGGTTCGATTTCATGCAAATACAGGGTGTTTTTTTTGTGGTACCCGAAGTTTTTTTCAAAAAAAAAAACGAATAAAAAGCCGAAAGTTCTTTGTTTTTGGTTTATTTTCGATAAATTTGGTCTTTTAAAATTTGTCTGATCAATTTTTGAAAATAATATCTGGTAAGTGGCCACCGCCAGCAGCTACACACATATCGGCCCGTTTTTCCTTCATCACTTTTTGAAGCATTTTGGGCGTAATTTGAGCGATTTCCTGGCGTATGTTGGCTTTAAGTTGTGCGAGAGTATCAGGTTTATTGGCATAAACCTTTCCTTTCAAGTACCCCCACAGGAAAAAGTCAGGCGCGGTCAAATCTGGTGATCTAGGCGGCCAGCCGAAATCACCACCTTTTGAAATTAATCGATTTGGAAACATTGGCCGCAATAAATTCATGTCTTCCTGTTTTTATTGTTGTGCTAACTGCATTTTGTATGGAAAAAATGCAAATCGATTTTCAAAATCTTCCACATAGTGGTTGAAGAGACGCCAAACTGCTGAGCACGACGACGATGTGATGTTCCTGGGTTTTCTTCAACATCGGCTCTTACACCTTCAATAACATCACCACTTCGACGTGTACGTGCTTTAATCTTAGGCTTGGATGTTGCCACAGAACCACTTTCATTAAATTTGTTCACTAGACGTCGAATTGTCTTCGGTGCTGGCACTTTTCGACCACGATATTTTGCTCTATACGCACGTTGCGTTAGAATAACTGAGGACTTGGTTGTCAAGATATACGTATTTAACATCGGGTACCACAAAAAAAACACCATGTAGTTCGATTTTAGGTTCAATTTCGTGAAAATGGTTCTATTTGACGTTCGATTATATTTAAATAACAAACATCTAGTGATACAAGTTAGTTCAAGTTGAACATTCAAGCAGTAAAGTTATCTTTATAGCTACATCATGCGTTTGAATACAGTGCAAAAGGCTGAAATTTTAATTAAATTGAATGACGGAGTGAATGGTAATCGTCTGGCAAAAGAATATGGTGTTGCTAAATCAACAATTTCATTATTAAAAAAGCGTAAATATGATGAAATGATGAACCCCAGCAAAAGAAGTGGAACTTTTAATCAACCATCGAGTGCCAGCGAGAGCAATAATGAATCAAATCAATCAAAAAATGCATCTAATGAGGATGAGATCGATGATGAAGTCAATGATAATGTTGATGGTGATGAAAGAGTTGAGAAAAAATCACATGCATTGCCAATGTTCCGTCAACTCAAACTCTATAAACCATCAACTGAAATGGATGGGAATGAACATGATGACGATGATGTTGCTGACGAGTATGAAGATGATGAGGAGGAGGAAGACGCGAGCGAAGGAGATGAAGAAGATTTCAATGAAATATGCAGAAAATTACGTCGACTCAATCATTGAGTGAAATGTTAAAATTAATTTCTAAATTACGGAGCGGCGGTTACATTCAGGATTCGCTATAAGAATAAAATAAATACTGAAAATTGTAAAAATTATAAAAACAGATAAATAAAACAAACACGATAATTTTTTGACAAAAAAAACAAATATTTTTATTTCATATTTATGTGTGTATCTATTATTATAAGAATGAATGTTTGTATGTATGTTCGGGGTAATCTTCTAAACCGCTCAACCGATCCGAAAGTGCCGGGTACCATTGGAAAGGTCTTGAGCCCGCGGGTGACATAGGCACCATCATGGTCCATCTCGGTCCATCATGGTCATTTTAACACCGACTTAACACTATTTTCACATATGAATAGTCAATATGGGTGTCATATGAAAGGTTTTGGAACAGAGATGAACATGGACACCATCTCGGTCCATCATGGTCATCTTAACACGACTTAACACCATGAAAAGTCAATATGGTTATAATATGAAAGGTTTTGGAACGGGGATGAACTGAACATGGATACCATCTCAGTCCATCATGGTCGAGTTAACACGACTTAACACCATTTCATATATGAATATGGGTGTCATACACAGAGAAAATTGAATTGGTGAACCCTGCCAGTTCTATTGGTGAAATGCAAAAGTACCAATAGATTACATTATTGAACCCTGACGGTCTATTGGTGAAATGTCATTTCACCAATGGAGTTTTTCATTTGTATTGGTAAATTCAATACAATAGGCAATGTTAGTAAATTTGTCACTTGTATTGAAATTACCAATACAAATGAAATATTCTATTGGTGAAATGACATATCACCAATAGAACTTATTTGCTTTAAAAATATTGTTTTGTATGTGTATGAAAGGTCTTGGAACGGAGATAAACATGGACACCACCACGGTCCATTATGGTCGAGTTAACACGACTTAACACCAATTCACATATGAATACTCAATATGGGTGTCATATGAAAGGTCTTTTGTGACAAATGGACATCAAGGCTTCGAGAAAGCTTCTATATATACCAGTTCGTTCAATAAGTCCCTGGCTTGACATAGAGATGGCTCCACAAACAGATAAACCTTATCATTTTTGACAAGTATAATCTATTTCCAGCCTCCTGTCAAAATTTCAACTCAATCGGACCATTAGTAAAAAAAGTTACAGCCAACAGAAGCAAACAACTTTTGAGTTTTTAAAAATCATGGAAAAAAGTGAATATCGTGTTCTCATTAAGCACTGCTTTTTGATGGGAAAAAACACCGTTGAAGCTCGTGAATGGCTTGAAAAGCATTACGGGGACTCTGCACCAGCTTATTCAACCATCAAGAACTGGTTTGCTGAATTTCGTCGTGGTCGTGAGTCGACTGTTGATGCTGATCGCTCCGGATGGCCAAATGAGGCAGTTATTCCAGAAATCATACGCCAAGTAAGGCAAATCGTGTTGCAAGATCAGCAAATTAAGGTTCGTGAGATTGCTGAAGGTGTAGGCATATCAACTGGGTCCGTGGTAACAATTTTACAACAACATTTGCATGTGAAAAAGCTGAACGTAAAGTGGGAGCCGCATTTTCTGAATATTCAACAAAAGGAGCAACGTGTTGTTGATTCAAAGGCCGGTTTGGCATTGTTTAACCGCAATCCAAAGGAATTTTTGCGTCGGTATATCACTATGGACGAAACATGGATACATCACTACACACCTGAGTCCAATAGACAGTCGGCAGAGTGGGTAGAACGTGGTGCAAAGCGTCAAAAGCGTGTGAAAACGAGTCGTTGGGCCGGAAAGGTTTTTGCCAGTATTTTCTGGGATGCACATGGTATTATCATGATCGACTATCTTCAGAAAGGTGTAACAGTCAACAAAGAATATTATATGTCCTTACTGGACCGTCTGAACGCCGAAATCAAGAAGAAAGGGCAACATTTGGCGAAGAAAAAAGTGCTCTTTCACCAGGACAACGCTCCGCCACACAAAGCCGCCGTTACCATGGAAAAATTCAAGAAATTGGGTTGGGAATTACTTCCGCACCCACCATACTCGCCAGATCTGGCCCCCAGCGACTTCTGGCTCTTTGCAAACCTTAAAAAATGGCTCGCTGGGAAGAGATTTTACGCAAATGAAGAGGTCGAATGGGAAACTGAGGCCTATTTTGGAAGACTTGACAAAACCCATTATTCGAAAGGTATCGAAATGTTGAAAGAATGCTGGGAGAAGTGCGTTGAGCTCGATGGGGATTATATTGAATAAATAAAATGATTTTTGCCCAAAAATTTGTGTTTTTCTTGGTTAGGCCAGGGACTTATTGAACGAACTGGTATAAAATGAATGTCCGTCTGTGGTAGTCCCAATTGAAACAGTGTTTTGTTGCACAGTGACATATATTTTTCTTCAATCAAAATAAGTGTTTCATTGAAAATGTCATCCGAAAATTGAATATTGATTTCTGGGTTCATATTTTGAACACGTTTTAGTACATCCCCACTAGGACTCTCTTTGAATCGTTCCCACAATTTCATTGGATCATCTGGTGCACAAGTGGATGATGATTACAGCAAATAGCTCTCGTATTCGTTTTGGATGTCTTGTAAGCTAAGCTATAGCTGTGCCATATTCGTATCTTAATAACCATCCCAATAATTTTGAGAGATTATTGAGATCCGATCATAATACCGATAAATCTTAATAACGCTATCAACTTTTTATCAGGATATTAACTATATTCAAATAATAACGTTATCGGATGAATCTTAATAATATCGTTTGGAAGTTATCAAGATCGAATCCTGTAAATTTATCAACATTCAATCTTAATAATCATCAAGTTCTGGAAGTGGGTTTTGGTGGATCCTCAGGATCGACCAGAACTGCTCCCAAAATACTCAGTTTCAGATAAACATCGTTGTGTTAGCACAACTTTGGATTTGGATAGATTTTTCAAACACAATTTCGGACATATTTTTAAAGTCTAAATTCAATTTACAAGTGATTTTAGATCTGAAATAAATGAGATCTCCATTTTGAAATCTAGATCCGAGGCGCCTGGAAACCAATAGCCTTCGAGGCGCGCGAAGCGCTAGTATATTCGGCTAGTATATTATAATATATAAAGCAATCATATAAAAGTTCGATTTGAAACCATTTTTTCTTCGAATTATACAGAAATTTTCTTAAGTTTACCTAAAATGTTACTCATTCATGAAAATCAATGAAAACTGTCTCATTTTTGTACATTATTTACTATTTTTGCTTAAAATTAACTATATGGAAATTTACATTTCTCCAGCAATAATGTTTCTCAATTTCACCAATTTCATGGTGACCCCAAGCTAGTGTATCAATACCATTCGAACGAATAATGTAACGCTTATCGTCGAATGGATTTAAGGCAATTTTTTTCTGTTTAATTGTGAATATTTGATGTGATTTCGAGCGAAGGCTATGTTGTTCACGTAAAATATTACAATTTTTCTCGATACAGTCAACATAATCGCTGAATGCAATTTTACGTTTCACTATATTCTTTTTGATACCTTTAGACTTTTTAATAACTTTAGATTTTTTATCGATGTCACAATTTTTTTCGATGCAGTCAACATAGTCACTATCTGTTATAACGCGGGGTGCGACAGCTCTTTCTGGACATTCACATTTTTCCATTTTAGCTGTAAACGGTAGTACAGCATAGCTTTTGCACGTAGACCGACAAATTCTGCTAAAATCTCTCCGTTTAATTCATCTTTGAAAAGACCGGGCACTTTTTTATTCCTTTGAGGCATTTTGAAAACATTGTTTTCCGGATAATCGCTTGTATCGTAGCGATTCGAGTGTTGCTTCATATCATTGTAGAAATCATCCGTTTGAATGGAAAGTATGAAAGAGTCGGTGTCTGTATAAGCAACCATAAATTTTTTTCCATATTTAGGTTTTAAAAAGTCGTACAGAAAACTGTACATCGTTATTTTCGATATGTCTAAGATGGACATACCGACAGGGACTTTTTTTGGATTTTTGTACCTAAACGTTCAAACGGCTGTATCTATCGATAGATCAGACCAAAAAAAGACATTTTATGAAAAAAAATCTTGGGTGTGCAGAAGAACAATTTTGAGTTTTGGGTTAAAAACCCCAAAAAATCGCGAAAAATCGAAATTTTTAAAAGTGGTCCGATTTTGATGAAAATTGGTACACAGCACAAGTGGAGCAATAGAAGAATTTCGACATTTAAACTGGTCCAAAAAATCGGACCACTTTTAAAAATTTCGATTTTTCGCGATTTTTTGGGGTTTTTAACCCAAAACTCAAAATTATTCTTCTGCACACCCAAGATTTTTTTTCATAAAATGTCTTTTTTTGGTCTGATCTGTCGATAGATACAGCCGTTTGAACGTTTAGGTACAAAAATCCAAAAAAAGTCCCTGCATACCGATAATTATTGGTTTATTCATTTTAATATGTGTTTTTTGTAACTCAATCACTGCTAAATTTTCATCGAGAATTTTACATTTCTTGAAATTTGGTCGAGCAATTAACATGCCTGCACCACATCGCCCACCCCACTTGTTGACAAGTTTGATATCTGCACGTAAACGACTTTTCAAAGTCGTTGGTTGCTTGCGTACGTAGCTGTGTGTTAACATCAATGTAGGGCTTTAGCCAGCAGCTTTGTTCGAATTGAAGTACTCGATGTACTTTTTTCAATACTAAACCGTGTTGTAATGCTAATTTGAGCATGCGATAATGAATGATATAATTTTCTTTATCGTATAGTGTTAACAATAATTTATCGATTTTATTTGATTTTATGCCGATAATATCGAACACTTCTTGCGGAAGCGTTCGCTTTTCAGCACAAAATGGAAAATCATTATGTGTAGCATGTAAATTTTTTGGATATTGTAGATCCACCTCAAATATATAGCCATATTCCGAATCGTCAGCTAATTTAGCTATTTCATCTGCATTTGAAAAAGATGTCTTTACAATGTTGTCATCAATCCATTTGAAATCCCTCAGCGGTAATGGTTGCGACATTGCGTGTCCATACAGATTATTTGCTATCAATGTGGATGAAAAAAACGAAATTAGATTCTAAAATATCATGAAATTGATTAAAAATAGACTGGACGAGTGGATGATTGAACGAAATTTACCATCTAAATACATTAAATAATTTGACGGTTTCTCATCATTGTATACATCTCCCATGTATTTATTGTTGGCTTTGACTTGACGTTTACTGCACTGACTTATGCCACTGCGAATTCCACGTTCGATGAACAGCAACATTTCCACATCAGATAACAGTTCAATTCTCACTCCGGTATATTTGAGCATGGCATCCCACGAAAGACCTGGAGCTGTATAGTAGTTTGCCGGATCCAAATTGTAAATTGTATGGCATGTATTTCGAAAATTTTCAAATACGTCGGCCAATAGTAGCACATCTGTCTTTAGATACAGTTCAGAATAGTCTCCGAGCGTTTTACAATTGAATTTCCGCCAGATATCATGAGCAAATTGGTAATCGTCATCCGATATTCCTTCTCCACTAAGTTTGCTGTAAAACTCTGCTTTTAATGGTAGATTTGTTTCCTTCAGCTGCTCCATACAGCTCACATATTCATAAGGGAAAACGCCTTTACGTTCAAGCATAGCGATTTGTGCTGGTGTGTAGCCATTTTTTTCACATTCGTTATACAATATTTGTTTTTTATCTGCCGGTAATAGTGATGCTAATTCAGCTAGAGATGTAGGCATGAATCGATATGAATCAATAAATTTAAATTTTACATTTTCTCTCGTATTGAGCCCGCGTGTACTCCCTGTTACTACTTTCGTGAATGCAATGTATTGTTCCGCATTAGCTGGAATAATTGAAACATCTCCATTTATAATATTATTTGCTGCCAACTCTCTTATGAATAAATGTGAGTCGTAACCCGACAAATTGTGCATAATAACGGGTACAACGTGGCTATCTTGGAACTGTAAGTTGCATGCTTGATGGGCTGGACCTCTATATCGGCCGGTGAGATGGCAGTGATCATGTACTCTAATATCATTTGCTTCAAAAATATCACCACAAATTGTACATAATGCATTTGGATCGTGGAATGAATATTTCTCATCTTCAGTTAACGGTAGCATTGGTGTGTTTTTATCAAATAACATTGCAACTCCATGAGCGATTTCCTTCAATTTTGTGATGAACCATTCGACACTATCAGTATGATTGCCGCTACTTCGGTAATATGAAAATGAATCGTCAAATTCACATTTAAAATAATATCCAACGCTGTACATATGATGCTGCTGATATGCAGTAGTTGCACACTCCTCACTAAATATACGATTCTGATCCTCCATACTGAGCCCTTTCAGATACGCTTCAGTATCAGCGTAAACAACAAATGGTTTATAGTTGTCAAATTTCATCCATTTCCATGTTTGATCGGGCATTTCAATGCTACACTCGTTTGTACATTTTGCAGAATGTTTCATTAATTTTTCATTTGTATCATAAAATATTAGACATCGATCGCAAATGAAATATCGAGATTTATGTTTACTCAGCTGACTTCTGACTAGACGGCTCAAATTTTTTATCCAACAATAATGAGTACGAATTGAATCATTATCGCAGATCTTCTTAATCATGTTGGAAGTGCTAGCTGTTTTAACATTTCTCACCTCAGTTTCATTAACACTTTCTCCGTTTTTTATTAGCAGCAAATGAATGTGATGCTGCTTAACTTCATTACTCACACGTAATGGACATATATGACCCTCATTGTCATCATCATAATAATATACATTTATCGATATAGTGTCATTTTGTCGAACAAATTTGTCGATTTGGTTCAAACGGACGGGAAAATCGATTCCATCAAAATTCAATTCGTTCTCATATTGATAATAATGACGAATTCGATCTGGATTATTTGTAACTGGGTGTAAAGCAGACAAAATAGCCCATTTGAAACACATTTCATCATGTTGATTTTGTACATTAATAACTGCATGTTTATATCGTAGCTTTTTAGGAGTTTCAACATACGATGAACCGTGTAATGGGTTATATAAGTTGACGTGAACATTCAACTCGATTATACGGGCGAGCGTAAATCCAGAACCGCGGAATGTAACTTGTTCTGCACTTTCCACTATTTCTTGAACGATTTGTTTTCGAAAATGTTCATGTTTCCGTCTACGTTCAAATCAAGCTTCCGTGTTTGCGTTGGGAGATATATAGTCTCTTTCTCCGTTAACTCATGACTATGATTACCGCCAGTATCATCATCATCGTAAGAATCATTATTTTCATCTGTGTTTACAATTTTTTTTCAAACTCTGCTACGAATACAGTCATTGACTTCACGTTAATAAAATTTTCAATATTTTTCGTAAGTTCCGAGCGATATATATAAAAGGCATCGCTTAGAAATATTTCAATATCAATATGTCCATTGTTTACAATAGCGAAGGTGTTAATTCGTCTATTAAATGCATTTTTACGCACTTGTAGCTCAACACTAGGGACATCTTCAATTGTATTAGAGGACGGTGACATCATTGTTAATCACATCGATATTAACGTTTTTCACGGGCGTAATTCCATTTTGGTATATCAATATGAACCGTTCCTTTCGGAACGCACCGAACAAAAATTACAATTCGATTGATCTAGTTGTATCACCAGATGTTTGACATTTAATTATAATCGAACCTCAAATCGAGCGTATTTTCAGGAAATCGAACCTCAAATCGAGCGTATTTTCAGGAAATCGAACCTCAAATCGAGCGTATTTTCAGGAAATCGAACCTCAAATCGAACTATTTTCATAAAATCGAACCTCAAATCGAACTATTTTCATAAAATCGAACCTCAAATCGAACTATTTTTCATGAAATTGAACCTAAAATCGAATTATTTTCATGAAATCTAAACAAAAATCGAAATATCAACATGAAATCGAACTATTTGCATTAAATTGAAGATCAAATCGAACATTCTTACATAAAATAATACGAATTATTGATGAAAATAAAAATGTAAACAGACGCAATGGTAGCAAAAAAGCACATTGTAAAATGCAACAACGATAACATGAACAAACGTTCACTATCGCGACAGCAACGTATGCGTTCAATGAATTCGTTCAAGGTTAAAAACTACAATCGAAGAAACAAGTATATGCATGTGAGAGAGAGTGAGAGAAAGAAACTAGAAGAAACAAATGTATGTGTATGTGTGTGTAGCGTAAACTATAGCAATGGTATATGATTTTTTTTTTTACCCAAGGAACACGGATTGGGTGACTTTTAGGAAGACATTATCACGTAATGTCACTAAAAATCAGAGGAATTTTGTGAATCTATCTGACACCAACAAGCTGGACAATGCGGTTGATTGCTTAACAAATGCGATCAACACTGCGTTCATAAAGGCTTGCCCGGAGTCAAAGAATGACAGCAAAGGTAAACACTGGTGGAACCCCAAACTGCAGAGACTTAAGGAGGAGTCAAGAAGGCTACTTAGAATATATTTAGCCAGAAAAGACACTCCACAAGGCCCAGTTTGTCATGAAGTACTGCGTCGCAGCAGAAACAGGTACACCAGAGAAATCATAAGAGCTAAAAGAGACTCTGAAAAGAATTTCTTTAGTAGAGTAGAAGGACCGAGAGCGATGTCCAAATTACACAAAATACTTGCCACTGACCCAGCACAAGGGCCAGGCATTCTGAAACGACCCGACGGTAGTTATACTGAGTCGTCTGAAGATAGTGCAAGATTATTACTTGATACACATTTCCCAGGAAATGTAGCAACGAATACAAACCATACGATCCAAAATGAAATAGACCCGACAGAAATGAGACCCAATGCAGCAGATACTGCAGACATTGTGGCATCAGATCGAGTTAAGTGGTCGATTTTCTCTTTTGATGCGTACAAATCACCGGGTACGGATAACATATACCCGGTCATGTTACAAAGAAGCTGGCAAATAGTAGGAAAGATAGTGGAGAATATCTACAGGTCCTCTTTGCTACTGAGTTATATCCCAAAACTATGGCAGGATATAAAGGTAACTTTTATTCCGAAGCCTGGTAAAAAGGATTACACATCTCCCAAATCATTTAGGCCAATCAGCCTGTCGTCTTTCCTTCTTAAAGGATTGGAACGACTAGTAGATAGACATATCAAGGAGAAGCTGGAAGGCACGAACACTTTGGATGGGAATCAACATGCTTTCCAACAAGGACGTTCCACTGACACAGCACTCCACAGTCTTATCTCCAACGCAGAGTATACACTCGCAAATAATGAATATATGATATCTACTTTTATGGATATCGAAGGCGCATTTGACAATGTTACGTTCGAAGCGATTGACAAACATATTGCTAATTGCGGAATAGGTACTACTGTCAACGCCTGGATAAAATACATGTTAGCGCATAGGACTATTAGTTTCTATCACCAGGGTGAAAGAGTCTCAGCACACGCGACTAGGGGCACACCCCAAGGTGTCTTGTCACCATTACTCTGGATAATAGTAATGAACAGTCTAATAACCAAACTTCGAGCACTTGGCTTTGAAGCCATTGGTTATGCGGATGATCTTCAGATTTGTTGTAGGGGCAAGTTTTTGAGTACCCTTTCTGATAGAACTCAACACGCCGTAAAATTGGTGGAAGATTGGTGTCTTGAAGTAGGTCTCAAGGTGAACCCAACAAAGTCGGAAATAATCATTTTCACAAGACGTAGAGACCTGAGTGGCTTCCGGGAACCTCTTCTTTTCGGCGACAGAATATCGAGGAAGGAAGAGGTGAAATATCTTGGTGTCACTTTGGATCCGAAACTTACATGGCGCAAGCATATTGAATACAGAGTCGAGAAATGCCTCAGAGTCTTCTGGAGCTGCAGATCAGCCATAGGAAAGACATGGGGACTAAATCCTAAATGCTTGCTCTGGCTATACTCCTGCATTGTCAAACCAATGATTGCATACGGTGCTTTCGTTTGGTGGCAAGGCACAAAAACTTCAATAGTCAGAGCGAAGCTGAATCACTTACAAAGAGTAGCCTGCTTGTGTGTGACTGGTGCATTGAGCACAACACCACAAGCGGCACTCGACACCCTGTTATCACTACCGAAGCTGGAGGAATTTATCGAATCTGAGACATATAAAACTGCCTACAGACTAAAATCCTCCATAAATTGCAACCCATACAATAAAGATACACACATTAAGGCACTGAATCAACTGATATCAATAGATAACATTCTAAGTGCCCATTCAGACAGACTCTCAAAACCAGTATATGCATTTGGGAAGACCTTTGAAGTCAGATATACAAAAGATACAAATGATTTCTGTAGAGAGTTTCAGTGGGCCGACGTAGCACTCTTCACCGATGGCTCTTTGAAGGGCGAGGGCGGAGGCTACGGAGTACACTGCGCCTCTCCGGAAATTAATATCTCATGGTCAATGGGAAAAAATGCCACTGTGAAACAGCTGGAAATTACAGCCATCACAGAATGTGGAAACGAAATTTTAAAAAGAGGCATAGTGGGTAAGATTGCTATCTTCACAGACAGCCAGGGAGCCATCAAAGCCCTTGACAACTACGTGATAGACAGCGAAATTGTTCTACAATGCCACTTGACACTACAAAGACTAGCGCAGAATTGTGATGAAGTTCGACTGATTTGGATTCGTGCGCACTCTGGTATACGCGGAAATGATACTGCGGACGAGCTCGCGAAAGCGGCGGCATCTGTAAGGACCTTTGGCCCAGAGCCATTCCTACCAATTGACTATTCAATTGTGAAGAGGAAGATAGAGCTTTGGCTAAAGGAACACATTAATGCACGCTGGAGAGCAACGAGTTCAAGTAATCAGACGAAGCACTTCATAAGCGCCCAGTCCAACAAAATTACAAATCAATTGATCAGTCTAGACAAACCATCTCTCAGAATTGCGGTTGGCCTCTTAACGGGACACGCAAAGGTGAATTATCACCTAAAGAAGATGAGGTTACGTGACGATCCGGACTGTAGGCTGTGCGGAAGAGCGGAAGAAACGACATCTCACTTGATGTGTGACTGCGCTTGCCTACGCAGCATCAGAAAGGATTGTCTGGGAAACGAACAAGCACAGCCTGGTTCAATTATAAGTAATATACATAAAATCATTCAATGGTTTACGTTGGCCTGTGAGTTTGACTTCAGGCTAAAAATCATATTTTAAACAAACCAATCTACTACAACGAATTATGTCCGCAACGGACATAAACGGGCGTCTCGCAATAGAATGAAATCAGCCTGAGCGACGAGTTTTCCCAAACTCCCCGTACTATCCATTAATCCATTAATCCATATGATTATTTGCATCGCTTCAGTTGTTGTTGTTGTTGTTCATAATTAATATATTGTTATGCATTTAGATGGA